TTCCTCAGGAGATTAAAATTACCCTATGATCAATAATTCCTCTGCTGAGTATTTACCCAAAGAGTATGAAAACACCGACTCGAAAGCATACATGCACCCCTGTGTTTACAGCAGCATTATTTACAATCGCCAAGCTGTGGAAGCAGCCCGAGAGTCCGTGGACTGATGATGAAAAAGAACGGAATATTAGCCATAAAAAGGAATGAAATCTTGCCATTTGCGATAACGTGGATTGCTCGTAGAGGGTACAATGTTAAGTGAAATAAGTCCGAGAAAGACAAAGACCGTACGATCTCACCCATATGAGGAATTTAAGAAACAAAACAAAGAAACAGACTAACCAAGAAACAGACTCTCAACTCTGGAGAGCAAGCCGATGGTCCCCAGAGCGGAGGGTGGGGGAGTGATGGGTGAACTAGGTGAAAGGGATTAAGACTACACTTCTCATGATGAGCACCGAGTCGTGCACAGAAGTGTTCGACATAACACTGTACGTTAACTGTACTGGATTTTAACAAGATAACTAAAAAATAAAATGGAAACGAATCAGCGACTTTGAGCACAAGCAGATTGTCCTTCCTAATGTGGGTGGGCCTCATCTAATCAGCCAAAGCCCCGAATAGAAGAGAAGACTGGCCTCCCGCGAGCCAGAGAGAATTCTGCAGCAGGTGGCTTTCAGGCTGCTCCTGCAGCATCGACCTCGCCTGTGTCTCCGGGCTGCCGGCCCGCCCCGCAGGTTTGGGACTTGCCAGCCTTTGGGACTGCATGAGCCAGTTCTCTCCAGAACGCTGACTGATACGGAGGTGAAATCGGGGTGAGGTTAGGGGGAGACTCAGACGCCCGGTGCCGGTCTGAAATAGTTTTCTTTTCTAAGCTCTTGGCCGGGTAGGGTGAAGCAATTTCCTTGATTGGGAGTCCTTAGAAGACAGGGCTGTCGGTGCTAAGCCCGTTGTGTCCTGCCCAGTATGGCACCCTGTACCGGTGGGGGTATAGTAAACATTTCTCACTCCCCCAGGAAGAGCGGTGAGGCTGTGTGGCCCCGTGCAAACAGCACAAGGAGGAGCGTCGGAGGGAGGGACGGTTTTAGTCCCCCTTCTGCTGGGTGACCTCGGGCATTCCTGATGACCCATCATTCTCCTCGATTGTTCACTGGGAAAGCGGACGGCACCCCAATTTGGGATGTTATGGAAAACGAACACAAAACAAAACACGTGAAAATACTTAGGGAAGTTTAAAGCACCCGTGACCTGTGGGCCTTGCACGGTTTTAGGAAAGGAGGTGGGCAGTAAATTGCGTGTCAGAGACCCTGGGTCTCTGCATGCGGTGCGGTGACAGGAGCTGAGGCAGGACCCGAAGGAGCGGCTGGCGTCCGTGAGTGTGGAGCTTTCTTCCGAGGGGCTGAGAGGTGGCTTAGCAAACCCTGGCCTGGAGCGGGTTAGGATCAGGGAACAGAGATGTTAGGACTCATGGCCGCACCAGGGTCAGACGTAGAACCGGGACCAAATGTCACGCCACACATGGGTCCCCAGCAGTAAACTTGTTCCCATCAGCCGTCCCTCTCCCGTCCCAGAGCGGGCTTGGGCTGCGTGTTGTGTGGGAATGGTGTGATAGGGAATAGGGAAAAGATGTGGTGAGGTCATAAAAACCCCGTTCTTTCTAAATTACAAGTGCCTTATTATTTTTTTAAATATTTATTTATTTTGGGGAGAGCGCGAGCGGGGGAGGGGCAGAGAGAGAGGGACAGAGGATCTGAAGCGGACTCTGCACTGACAGGCCGTCAGCGCAGAGCCTGATGTGGGGCTCGAACTCAAGAACTGTGAGATCATGGCCTGAGCTGAAGTCGGACGTTGAACTGAGCCACCCGGGCGCCCCTACAAGTGCATCCTGAGTGTGGCTTTGGAGGACTTACGGGAAGGCTCAGGGTGCAGGTAACAGCCTGCTTCCCCGGGGGCGGGGGTATTTATTTTGGTCCAGAAATGCTCCTGTTTGTCACCAGAGCCATGTCTTCCCGCAGATGTCTCAGGTCCCAGCGGTGGCAATTTCAGACACTCTGTGAATGGAGTGTATTGGTTTTCCCATGACTGCCTTCGCAGGCCACCACCGACTAGGTGGCTTGAAATCACAGGTGTTTTTCCCTCCCACGTCTGTAGGCCGAAGTCCGCCGTCGAGACTGCTCTCTCGGGAGGCTCTGGGGAGGCTCCTGGCTTGCGGTGGCTGCTGACGATCCGTGGTTCTCCTGGTTTGTAGCCACAGCACTGCAGTCTCCCGTGTCCTTTTCTCTACGGGGACGCCGTCACTGGATTTCGGGTCTGTAGTGTCATTTCGAGTGATTATATCTGCAGAGACCCTACTTCCAAATAGGGTCACGTTCTGAGGTTCCGGGAGGATGAGAACCCGGGGACGTTATTCGGCCCACGACACGGAGAAACAAGGAGAGGGGTTGGCCCCACTGGACTCCGTGTGGGAGTCTGAGCACGGACCCGGGTGAGGGAGCCGTGCCTGTCCAGGTGGGCCCGGAGGCAGAGATTCCGGGCTCGGGCCACGCGCCCCCCCATTGGAAAAAGACGGACTGCTTTTCCCAACGCCCAGCTGCCACCTGGCTTCCCCGGTCCGATGTGCCAGGATGCCCCTCCTTCTGTCCCCCACTCTCTGGGCACTGATTTTCCGCTGGGTGAACTCGCGGCCTCGCTGAAAGACCTGATCTGCTCGCCAGCACCTCCCCGGCGTGTGCGGTCGGCGCTGGGGTCACCAGCACCGGTGTGTCGCCGATGGCCACTCGGTCACGTCCAGGCGGTCGGTTCCCTTTGTCAGGTTGCGAGCAGCCGATGTGCTCAGCTCTGCAAGCCCCCCGGAGGCCACAGCGCCCGGGACCACAGAGGCCTAGCTGGTGGAGCATGGCCACGGGAGCCCTGCACGGGTGGGGTTCTGGCCGGTCCCTGCTCCCGGCCTCGTCTCCCGTGGTGTCTCCATCGGGGGGCTTCGGCCTCTGTGGCCCTTCTGCATCTCCCTCCTTCAGACCTTGCTTCCCCTTCGGGGCCTCTGCAGCCTAACTTCCTTCTGGAACTTTCCATGTCTGGCTCCTGGTCATTCAGGTCTCTCAGGTGAGGGGGCACCTCCCCAGAGACCTCTCAGACCTCCCCCCAATTCTGTTTCTTCATATCACCCCCACCCAGTCCCTGTGGTAAACTCTGTGACGACAGGGCCGTGTCTTCCCGCTCACCGTTGTGTCCCGAAGCTACGAACGGGGTGGGGAGTCTTCCGGTGTCTTTAGTAACTCCGCACTTTCTTTCTGCCCTTTCGATCCCAGAGAAGCGACACTGTGTTGCAAGGCACACAGCTGATCCTGGATTCCGGACCTGGGGTACGGTGCTCGCTGTCCGAGCCCGGAGACCCCGTCATCCGAGCACGGTGCCTGGGGCTCGGCTCCCCGAACCGGACGCCAGGCAGGCGCCCCACCCAGTGCGCCCAGTGCGCGAGCAGTAAGATCATGCGATGCAGACTCGAGATCGTGAGGGCTCACCCAGCGAGGAGCTTGCGGAAGCCAGAGGGCACTGCCGGGAGAGAACATTCCAGAGAAAAGAGGCGTCTCCTAAATGCTCAGCCCTCAGTGGGGCAGCCCTGGGGACTCATTACCTATAGCGGGTTGAGATTTCAGCCACTTCTCACCCTTCCAGGAAGGGTTTGCCGCAGTGCAGCGCTATTATTTTTAGCAAAATAACTGTTTTAGACAAGCAAGGTGATTTTTAATCCCCTGATTATAAATGCTGTTGGCCTAAAGAAGGAGAGCTCCTTGAGACACAACTCCCTGCTTCTTGAGGTGGGTCCAGGCTGCCTGAGAGTCTGCTGATGTTGCTGTGGGGAGGGGGCATCACTAGCCCTGGTGGGGCCCCTCGTGGGGACTCCACTTGGCCAGTGAGTCGTTGCTCTGTGACCCTGTGGCGGTTGGGGCCGGGGAGAGGCTGGAGAGTCTGGGGCAGGACCTCTGTGATGAGTTAGCTTCGGCTTAGTGGTGGCACAGACAGGGCTCAAGTTCACAGACACAGCTTCACACATGGGGGCTCCCGGGGGGCTCTGTCGGTCAAGCGTCCGACTCTTGATCTTGGCTCGGGTCATGATCTCGTGGTTCGTGAAATGAAGCCCCGTGTAGGGCTCCCCGTGTGGAGCCTGCTTGAGGGTCTCTCTGTCCCTCTCTCTCTCTGCCCTTCTCCTGCTTGTGCACTCTATCTCTCTCCTCTCTCAAAATAAACGGACTTTAAAAAAAAAGTGTTGCTGGCTCATATAAAAGGGGGGAACCTTCAAAAGTACTTTGACGTGGGGCTTCTGGATGGCTTAGTTGGTTGAGCGTCCGACTTCGGCTCAGGTCATGACCTCGCAGTTCGTGAGATCAAGCCCCACGTCAGGCTCTGTGCTGTCAGCGCAGAGACCTCTCTGGATCCTCTGTCCACATCTCTTTGCCCCTCCCCTGCTAGTGTGCTCACTCTCTCTTGCTTCTCTCTCAAAATAAAGAAATAAATTTGAAAAAAGAAACAGCTTCCCACTGAGTTCTTCTTCCTTCCTGAGTTCTTTGCAGACCCCCCTGGCCTGGCCCTGCCTCTCCTGACCCACCAGCTCCGTGCACCTGAGGCCCTGGCCTCTGACCTCCTCTAGGGCTAGTTTGTGAGTGAGTTTAGCTTTGAGAGGACGGTTCTGTCGTCTGTCCTCACCAGGCTGCGTATGAGGTCTGTGGGCCTTATTTGTCTACCAGTCACAAGGATGAGGCCGTATGCAGCACCTGGCCTGTTCCTAATTGGGGGACTTTTAAGCGGACGCAGAAGATGACACAGGAGCCCAGTCAGCCCCAGGCGTCTGTCGCCAGCTCTGACCGCCACCGACTCCAGCCAGCCTCCTGTCCTTGACCTCCCCGGCCCCTGTATCATTTGCAGCAGATCTACAGGGAGCCTGTGGCCTGGTGCATTGGCTCACGCTTGCACTAACATCTCGATTCTGCGTATTCGTTTCAGATAATTGCCTTCGATGAGTTAAGGACAGATTTTAAGAGCCCCATAGACCAGTGCAACCCTGTTCACGCGGTAAGTGGTGGGAGCTGGTGGCGGGCAGGGTTCAGGAGGGCAGGGGGGTGGAGGGCAGGGGCGTGGTGGAGGGCAGGGTGATGGGGGGGGGGGGGGGGGGCAGGGGGCGGGGGGGTGGTGGGTAGGGTGGCAGAGGGCAAGGGGGCAGTGGGCAGGGTGGCGGAGGGCAGGCTGGTGACGGGCCTGTGGAGGAGGGAGGTTCTGATACGGGTGGGGCGGGTGAAGGACATACCAGCCCTGAGTGCCTGGCTCCGGGCTGTTGAGGACACATCTCGTGCCCGAGGTCGGACGTCTCCACTTAACTCACAAGTATGAGCACCCCAGTCACCCAGGTGGGGGGGGGGGGTCTGCCGTGCTGAGGCCTCGTGCTGTCTTGTGGTTATTCGTCCTTGAACCAGCATGTTGTGGGGGACGGGAGCCTCCTTAGTGGTCGTTCGTGCTCGGCACTGGCCAGCGTCTCAGTGGGACAAGTGCAGAGTCGGTGTTCGGGGCCCCTGACCCCACACCACCGCCCAGGAGACGCCCACCTTGAGAGGTTCCGTGGGCCCAAGCCGACTCACTTTCCGCTGGGGAACCCGACGCGGTCTGGTCGTCTGTGCGGTGACAGCCCCTCTGCCCCAGGTCACCGCTCCGGGTCTTACCACTCCCTCTCAGTTGTCAGCTGCTCCCATATGGAGGTGGGCGTGGAGAGCGGCCTTGGTGCAGGAGAGGGATAGGGGCGCTCGTAGGGAAGGGGTGGGTGGGGTCTCTGCTTCTCTGGTCAGTGCAGCCTACTTCCAGGAGCCGGGGACCGGCCATGCACGCAGACAGGGCCTTGTCCACACTCATTCCAGACCAGCACTGCTGGGCTCAGAGGATGGGGTGCACGCGGGTCACTCAGGGGGCATCTCTCCATCTGAACTCACGGGGCCCAAGCACCGATGAAGGTCCTCCCAGGCCCTTCCAGCATGGAAGCAAGTGTTGGTTTGAGTAGCTCTGTTGATACTTGTTTTAAAAAATTTTTTAGTGTTTATTTTTGAGAGTGGGAGGGGGACAGAGAGACAGAGAATGTAAGCAGGAGAGGGGCAGAGAGAGAGGGAGACACAGAACCTGAAGCAGGCTCCAGGCTCCGGGCTGTCAGGACAGAGCCCGATGTGGGCTCGATCACGCAAACCACGAGATCATGACCTGAGCTGAACTCAGGAGTCAGACGCTCAACTGACTGAGCCAGTCAGCGCCCTGATGATAGTTTTATTTAGAGGCTGTAGACTGACCAGCAGGATTTACTAGTGTGACGCTGTCTTAACCTGGAAGGCTCGCGGCATCACTCTCTAGTGACAGGGACACAGGGGTCCGTTCTTGGAGAAAGTTAAGCTCCCTGGAGGGGACTAGGCTTCAGGGTGGCCTCCGTGAAGTGCAGGGTTTTTACTGGAGTCGCCGGGTTTTGGTAGTCTTTTCCGCCTGCGGGAACCTCGTGTGTGTAACGTAGGATCCTCTCCCACGCCGGCATCGTTTACCGCGAGTACAGACCCGCGCAGGGGCCCACGGCTCGCAGGCGGCGAGGTCAGGATTCGAGGTGTGCCGTCTGTGTTCTGACCTCCTCCTCTGTGTTGTCTCTTTCGGAGATCTGATTTCCTAAAGCCTGATTTCAGAATCCCTTTGGCACCCATGCTTTGGTTCCATGGCGTAGAGCCAAACCCTTTCAAAGTCGACTGTGGGAAGCAGAATTTTGTTACAAGTTGAAAGACTCCCTCAGAGGCGCTTGGAAACTCCTGAGTTGTATGAAACTTGCGTTAAAATCCATCTGGTTTCCATCGGCCAGTGTTCCCCCCACCCCGGCTAACCTGGCTCCACAGGGCCTGAAAGGCCTCACTTCTTTCTGGATGTTTCGTTTGTTTGGCAGTGGCTCGTCTGCACCCGCCGAGGGCACAGAGCTGCTCAGCTCGAGAGGGCGCGTCCCGGGGGGTCAGCTGCCTGCGCTGCGTCCTCCTAGCTGTCCGGGCTCAAATCAGGACACAGCTCACTTAGAACACCCAGGGCTTTCTGAAATGACCCCAGGGTCACGCGAGTGCAGAAATGTGTCCCCCACTCAGCTCCGTCCTGCAAATCCGACCCACAGACAAACGTCACGGAGCAGGCAGTTTTCTTAGTTCAGATGGGACGGAGGAAACAGGACCCACACGGGGGCCGAGGCGGCCTCTGCTGAGGGTCGGAGCAAGAACGGAGCCTGCATACAGTAGGAGCTCAACTGTTGTTGATGAAAGTGAATCCTGCAGGGTGAGGTGAGCCTGGAGGCTGGGTCTCAGCTCTTTACTCCTGTCATTAGAGCCACGCTTCCAACAGGTTGTGATGTAATTAAGGAGCCTGGACCCTGCTGGCCAAACGTGTAGACAGACTGAAGGCCCAGGGAAAGGAGTCTTGTCTGGGATTTTGAAAGTTTATTTATTTTGAGAAAGAGGGAGCGAGCATGGGAAGGACATGGGGGAGGAGCAGAGAGAAAGAGAGAGCGAGCGCGTGAGCGAGCATGAGTGGGGCAGGGGCAGAGAGCGAGGGAGACACAGAATCGGAAGCAGGCTTCAGGCTCTGAGCTGTCAGCACAGAGCCCGACTCGGGGCTCAAACTCATGAACTATGAGATCATGCCCTGAGCCGAACTCGGATGCCCAACCGACTGAGCCCCCCAGGCGTCCCTCTTATCTGGGATTTTAAAAAAAAAATCTGTTAAAACCCTACATGGAAGAATATTAGGCACATTTTCTTGGTTCTTAGGATTTACTCCCTGGCAGGAAGTTAAGCGCTTTAGATGCCTCTTTAAACTGTGTTGGAGCGATCTCGGCCTCCGTGGAGGCAGCTCAGCCTCAGGAGGCTCGGAACAGTTGCCCCCCCTGGGCGGTGACGCCAGCCCCGGGGGGACTCAGCTTATAAGCAGTTGCTCTAGGAAGATCCCCTAAAGCACAGACTTGCTGGGCCCTCGGGGCAGACCCCCTTCCAGGAGGAGGAAGGGGCCCCCGTGTTACTCTAGCATCTCATTTAGCCCTTCCCTTCCTTTTCCCAGTGGGGCCTTCACTGTCGCCACGGAGCGAGGGAGCTGTTGTCCCCTGAGGACCAGCCCGTGTGTCCCACGGCACCCTCTCTGTGCCTGGTTCTGCACACCTTTCCTTATTCTGCACGTAGGCAGCCTCGATGCCCAGCTGCATGGGGGTTTGTGTGGGCGCACACGTGCGTGTGTGGGCGCGCACACGCATGGTCTGCCTTCCTTGACACGTGGGCGCTAATCTGTCCTGATGTGGGCTCTTAAAGGGCGCCCAGGGATCACTGTATGAGTCAGTTAGGGAAATAGAAGTGTCCCAGCCACCTGTCTCCTCCAGATCCGCGAGGAATTTCATTACCGTCACATCCACGGCCACCACATTGCCTCGGTAACAGAGCGCCGGCGGATGCCGCAGCCGTGCTCACAGTGGCTCCAGAAAACAAGAAAGTCATTGCGGGAAAGGGGAGGCAACACACGGTGTGTGACGTGACTGTCATCACCTGCCCAGCCATTAGGCACCTGTCCCCAGCAGTGAGCCAGGCTCCAGACAGGGACCTCGACATTTGCAGAAGTCTTAGCCTGGGGGCATAGTGTGATGATGAGTTCCCCTAAATATACTCACTTTAGAAAAATAAAACCAATGGCGGGGGTCCACCCTACCTTGGACACAAATCAGGACACCCGTGCTCCAGGGACCCAAGTGGGCCCAAGCGGTCTTCCCAGGAGGGCTGATTGTGGGCGCCAGGAAGGATGTCCCTGGTACTTGTCTTATAACCACAAGTTTGTGCCTTTTCACCCCTCCCCCACTCCCTGTCTCTGATGACCACACTTCTGATCTCCTTTTCTAGGAGTTTGCTTTGTTGTTGTTGTACGTTTGTAGATTCCACCAACATAAGTGAGATCGCACGGGATTTGTCTTTCTCTGTCTGGCTTACCTCACTCGGCATAATGCCCTCTCCTCCGTCCACATTGTTACAAACGGCAGGGGGTTCCTTCTTTTTTATGGCTGAGTAATATTCCAGTGTTTGTGTGTGTTGTGTGCACGTGTGTACATGTATCATGCTATGTAATAGTATGCTGTATATATGCTGTGTGTGTATATGTGTACGTATGTCATACTATATAATATACTATATGCATACTGTGTATGTGTATGTGTGTATATCATACTATATAATAGTATGTATATGCTGTGTGTGTACATGTGCATGTGTGTGTATATGTGTACGTATCTCATACTATATAATATACTATATGCATACTGTGTATGTGTATGTGTGTATATCATACTATATAATAGTATGTATATGCTGTGTGTGTGTGTGTGTGTGTGTGTGTGTGTGTGTATGACATTTTCTTCTTCCATTCATCTATCCAGGGACACTTAGGTGGACTCTGTGTTGTGGCTATTGGAAATACTACTGACACTGCAGTGAGGACAGAGGTGCAGATATCTTTCCCAGGCAGTGATTTCGTTTCTTCCAGGCAGACATTCAGAAGTAGAATTATTGGATTGTAGGGTAGTTCTATTTTTAACTTTTTGAGGACCCCCCCCCATACTGTTCTCCACAGTGTCTGCACCAGTTTGCATTCCCACCAGCAGTGCACGAGGGTTCTCCTCTCTCCGCACCATCCTCACTGACACTGTGGTTTCCTGTGTTGTTGATTTGGGCCATCCTGACAGGTGTGAGGCGGCACCCCACCGTGGCTTTGATTTGCATTTCCCCGATGATGGGCGATGAGCACCTTTTCGCATACCCATTGGCCGTCTGTATGTCTTCTTTGGGAACATATCTGTTCAGATCCTCTGCCCATTTACAATTGGATGATTTGTTTTTTTGCTAGTGAGTTCTATGAGCAGAAACTCTCGTTAGGAGGTGCTGGGTGGGAGCATGCAGGCCACGTGGCCGGGAGGGGTCTCTGGTGGGTTCTGCCTCCTGTACTGGGGGCCGAATGTGGGGGCTTCTCAGGTTCTCGCAGCAGAACATCTAACCTCCAACCTCCCCTCTTTTCCTCTCTTTTGCGTCCTGAAGAGGGAACGGCTGAGGAACATTGAACGCATCTGCTTCCTCCTGAGAAAGGTCAGTGCAGGAACGCCACACCGAGGGTGGACGGCCACGGGGTCGTGGCCGGTCACACGGTAAAAGGGGCCAGCGAGGCTCATGCCTGCTCCAGCCCCGTCTCCCCCGAAGGCAAATGGCAGGGGCGGGGGAGGTGGGAGCGTGTGGAAACCTCCAGAGATGAAAGGAGCCGATTAGAGTGGTGGCCATCACCAGAGTGGTGGCGCTGCATCCTTGCGGGTGCCTCTGGTTGGGTCGGGAGGTCCTCTATCTTTGCGTGATGATGGATGGCATTTGCACCTGATGCTGCCCCTGCGGCCTTTGTTCCTGGCTGGCGCTGGGGATGCACCTGCCCGGCTCCAGGAAGCTTTTAACTAGCTGCTGGCTTTCCTTTGAGGTTTCAACGGCCACTCAGCCTCGCAGATTGATTGACAGCGTCACGGGGAGCGTGTCAGGGCTGGGACAGGAAGCGTGATGAAGGGGAGCCTGCGTTCGGAGAGTTGTTCTGAATGGATGGGCAGAGGTCACAGCCGCCGGGCGCCTCCGGAACACACGTGTGCATGCACATTCATGGGTGCGCGTGCTCTCCGAGACATAGCTGGGGAAGCCCGATGGCAGAGGGACGTCACCGTCCAGCAGGAAAGTGTGTGCAGAGAGCAGCGAAGTGTAGAGACCAGTAACTTGCAGGTAGAGGAAGCGGTACCCACAGCCGAGATCCAGACGACATCCCCATCTCTGTTCAGAGCGGATGGGATGCAGGACACCGTAAAGCCACCTGTCAACCCGAAAGGAGTGTTTGAGCCTCCTGTGAGTAGGAGAGAAACAGATACCTTGCCAGCATCGACAGAAGGAAAATCATCGTGCAAGCTTTTGAAACTTTTCTAGGTTTCAATAATGATGCCTTCCGTTGGAAGAGCGAGCTTAATCAAAAGTTAATTATTTTTCCTGCCAATTACTTGCCCGTTGATGTTTTCTCAGACACTCAGTGTGTTAGAGTTTCACGTCTTGGATGAGGCAGCAGGGAAGTACGGTAAGATGATGAGAAGCATGTGAAAACACTAGTGATCCAAGAGTAAAGAAGGACTTAAGAGAACAGCACGTGTCATTTGGTATTAAGGGCAGTTCATGGATCTGTGAATTACTTTCCCAGGTAATATCTTGGGCACCAGTGATGCCTTCGGCTGTGACTTCTGGTCTTTGGCTGGTGCTTTACGACTGACAGCTAAGTGTCTGTCTCATCCCTTTCCCCTGAACGTACCCCAGCCCCACCCCAGACTCTCTGGCAAGGCAGTAATCCACATCCTTCACATCAGGCTTGCTCACCTTTCTGACTGCTTGACCACTGACTCTGGGGGGACAGGGACCAGTGGCCTGGCTGTGTCTGCCAGAGTCCTGCCTTACAGCCTGAAGGTCAAGGCCAAGGGTGTGAAAGAAAAGGGGCTGAGCAATAATTAGCATTACCATTTGCAAATTTACATAGAGTTTGCATACAGTTTCTAGAACTGTGTGCAGTAGATGAGGCGTTTTGCTCCAGGAAACATATTCCAAAGGCCTTTTTCTGTTTTTTTCCTTTTCATGGGCTCCGTCCCCTCATTCCCCCCCACCTAACCCCACCTTGCTGCAGCCTCCACTGCTCCCGTGAAGGCATGTTTCGTTCGATGTTAGCAGGCGACACCAGGGAGGAGAGTTCCAGTGGACAGCAGAGGACAGGGCACACTGACTTCAAGTCTGCAGGTGTGAGAGCCGTGCTCCATCACTGATCACTCATCCTGCAGCCTCACGGCCTCGGCCCCGCCACCGGCCGGGCGAGAACCTAGCCGGGAACGTGTCTCTCTTACTACCTCACTACTTACATCAGATGTGTGTTTTCATATCACGTGTAACTCTGTCGTGCTCGCCGTCTACACAGAAGGCCCCTAGCGGACAGGAGGTAATGTGTGCAGGCTTCTGCTGCTTCCCCGTCCTGCCCCCTGCCCCGGTGATCCACGAGGCCCTCAGTGCGACTCTAGCCCCGGGCGCAGTGAGCACAACCCCTCCCCTGGGAGGCTGCTGGGGAATTAGCGGGGAGGACAGAGGTGTGCGCAGCTCAGAACGGCTGACACCGTCACACGTTACCGCTGTCGTCCTGACCCTCGGTGGCTGCCAAAACCCCCGTGAACGCCCCCGGGGCATGCCTTCCGTGCCGAGGTGGGTGCAGGTGCGGTGGTCCATGGCCGGCGGCCTCCCCCAGGCTCCAGCTCTGGTCCTCCTGCCAGAGTCTGAGCCCGTGCCGGGCACAGGGGGAGGCTGAGTGGGCCTGGTTAGCACCACCACCTTCTGGGAACTGTACCTTCCAAGAAATTCCTTGGAACTTGTCTCCTAACACCCAGAATGTGATGCATTTCAGCAGCCGATTGTTGTTAAACCACCTCCTCAGCTTTCTCGGGAGGAAGGAAGGGATTTTCAAGTGGATCCGTTTCAAGCTCTGTAATTATCAGGAAATGTGTTCTTTGGGTAATTGTCTGAACCGCAGGGTTCTTGCGTTGACGTGTGCGTATGATTCACGTTCTAGGGCAGGACCACTCTGCGAGCCGCTCTCCCACTGGAGCAGGATGTCGGCTCCGTGGGTCACGGAGAAGGGCGGGGTGGGAGCAGGAAGCGTCTGACCAGGGGCCCCTGCTGCCTCTCCAAGTTCAGGAAAGGAAGTTCAGTGAGAGCCCAGGGTCGGCATGAGCTCGGGGAGAAGCGTTCCTGGCGAGCTGTGGTCGTCACACCCTGGATTTGGTTGTCCTGGGACGTGTCAAGTGTCACTTCCCTGGGCCAAGGTGGTCGTGTGTCACCGATGGTCTCGCGTTCGCCGGAGCCTGCGCGCGTGGCAGGACCCAGGGCGCTGTGTGGCTTGACGGAGCTGCGGTTCTCCTTTTTCCCCAACTTCCGCAAGCTTGTGTCCAGCCTCAGTGTCGGTTTTCTGACCTCTGTGGCTGCAGAGAGCCCCGGGGGATGGACGGTTTTCCCTCCCTCCAGGGCTGTGGAAGAGGAGGACGGGCGGGGCTGTTGCGTCCTTTGGGGCCGTGTAACCAGGTGGGAGGCGGCAGGTGCACCAGGTTTTATTCTGGAAAGAACGGGGTGGTGATAAGGCCACAGGAGTTACCACCCTGACCGCCTGTGCCCCTCCCCCTTCGTGCTTACCCGAGCCACACCTGCTTCGGGGGAGGGGTCAAGGCCGGAAGTACAGCTGAACGGTGTGAAACCGGCACCCGCCGCAGACACTCCACGATGTGATCCCGCAGGCGGAGCTGGCGGAGGTGGGCAGTGGTCGAGTAGGAAGACCACACTGCTGTTCCCGATTCTGCACCCTCCGCTGTATCCGTGGGGTCACGTCCCTGAAGCCGTGACCTCCCCGAAGCCAGGGATTGCGGGGACCCTCTCCTCTGCACGCACGCTGGGCTCTGCCAGGTCTTCCGAGTTCTGGGAGTGCCTGCTCCCCTGACCTGACGTCACTGGGGCCAACCCACTGCAAGGAGCCCGGGGGCACGGGGTGCAGACCCCGCCCAGCTGTAGCTCAGAACCAAGCCCGTTGGATCCAGTGACCCCTCCCCCCCAGTCAACCTTCAGCTGTGCGAGCAAGTATAAATGATTATTGTTGCGAGGCGCTGAATGCTGGAATGATTTGTTATGCAGCATTGTTATACCGATGGCTGACCGATACTGCAAGCTTGTGCTGCTTACATAAGGGGGAGCCTTTTTTTTAAAAACCTGATTGTATCCTGTGCCACACATCAGCTGTTTGCTGACTCTGTACATTTATAAATAGACCGTTTCAAACTCTGTCCCAATTTCTTTGACCTCAGAGGAGGCTGCTAAATGCGTTCCTGTACCAGAGCCCAGAGAAAGACCCACATCACTTTGGATCACGTTATTTGTCCGGCATTAGCTACCTGGAAGAATAGTGAAGACAGTGCCTTTTCCGTAATTCCCGGCACTCCTGCCACAATGAACTGACTTGATCGCCAGTCTTTTTAGCCGCTGGCACTGTTCTTCCTTTGGGCTCTGGAGAGAACGGTGTGTTTAATTGAGGGACACGATACAGTTGAAAAGGGACACATAAACTCAGAGGCAGTTGCGTGGAATGCCTTAGAGAGACCATCCTTGGCTCAGGAATTTTCCAGAATGGAAGTCTGTGTTGGCTGGCGGATTTCTAAAATGTGCTGGGGACAGGAGCTGTTTCTGTTTTTAGAGTGACCACTGCCTGCCTTTAAAAGAATTAGCTCTTTTGGGGCGCCTGGGTGGCTCAGTCGGTTGAGCATCCAGCTTCGGCTCAGGTCGTAATCTCACGGTTCGTGAGTTCTAGCCCCACGTTGGGCTCTGTGCTGACAGCTTGGAGCCTGGAGCCTGTTTAGGATTTTGCGTCTCCCTCTCTGTCTGCTCCTCCCCCACTCATGCTCTGTCTCTCTCTCTCTCTCTCTCTCTCTCAAAAATAAATAAACATTAAAAATTTTTTTAAAGAATTAGCTCTTTTATATATATATTTTAATGTTTATTCATTTTTGAGAGACAGAGCACCAGCGGGGGAGGGGCAGAGAGCGAAGGAGACACAGAATCCGAAGCAGGCTCCGGGCTCCAAGCTGTCAGCACAGAGCCCGACACGGGGCTCGAACCCACGAACCGTGAGATCATGACCTGAGCCCAAGTTGGACACTTTATCGACCGAGCCACTCAGGCACCCCTAGAAGAATTAACTCTTAATCCTCATAACGACACTGTGAAGCACTAATGATTAATAGATGAGGAAGTCGGGGGCGTAGAGAGATTTACTGTTCTGGGGTCTCCTGTTTCTCAAGTCAGTGGATCTGAAGTCAACATTTTTAATCACAAAATAGGGGAAGTTGTTGCTTCTCTGACACCTGCTGTTTACCGACCACCACGACGGTAATAGCGCTCAGCTATTTAAAGGGAAGGCAGGAATCCCCAAAGCCACAGGGACCCTGTAATATGCTGGGCTCACCATGATGGGGCCGAGTGGATTCCTTTAAGGCTCTTTT